AAATTCCATATTGACAGAAATGAAACAGAATCTCTGGTTAAAATCTGGCAAGCAGCAGGAATTCACTCAGAGAAGAAATATACTTTGGAACACTTTGTTTCCATCAGACTCTCATAAGCCAGGATGCATGAGCAAGATTTTCTTACCACGGATGACAAGTGTGATGAGCCAACAAAAGGTAAAAGCAGAAGAAATATCAACCAATCCTTATTTATAAATATGATTTACTTCCCTTTTGCTTCCACAGGCCAACCTCCCACATTAACTGCTCACAGAGACATGTGACATTCCAAGGAGAAATTACAGCATAAACAAAACAGCAAACTTCAACAGTGCTTTTGAAATACACAAATATAAAGTATTTTCACATATATTAACAAATTTCATTTCATCAGGTCAGTATAATTATTACCAATTTATAGATAAAGAAGCTTAAATTTAGAAATATTCCTTTAAACTGGACACGGTGACGTATACCTATAATTCCAGCTACTTGGAAGGCGACAGCAAGTTCAAGGCCAGCCTTAGAAACTCAGGGAGTCCCTGTCTCACAACAGAAAGGGAAAAAAAAGTCAAACAAAACAGAAACAGGTTGGGAGGTGCAGCTCAGTAGTAGAATACTTGTCTAGCATGTGCGAGGCCCTAGGTTTAATCTCCAATATGAAGGAAGGAAAGAAGGAAGGGAGGACGAAAAGTAGGAAGGAGGGAGAGAGGAAATGGAGGGAGAAAGAAAAAGATTCCTTTAAGTGGGAGAGCTACACTTCAGGTTATTTTGGCTGATTCCAAGATTCAAGTTCTTTCCCTGAGAAAGAAAAGCCACCTAAATGCAATTCTATTCCCCTTACAACGGAAAAAATATATATCATTCTATCCCATCACATCATTACCTGAGCAAGTCAGCATGACACCTAGGTACTGACAGTCAATAGGCAGATATGGGAAATGAGAACATTATATATGTTCTACCTTTTTATTTGTATTGTACATACAGTTTCAGATTTAGGAAATAGAAAAGAAAAAAACCATTACATTAAATATAGATAATATCTATATATGTATGTATATCTATGTATCTAGATACACAGATATTTAGATATATCAAGAAGATGTAGATGTAGATAAATAGTATGCATCACGCATGATAGCACATGTCTGTAATTCTGTGTACTTGGGAGGCTGTGGCAGAAAAATTACATTCAAGGTCTGCTTTGGCAGCTTAAGAAGACCCTGTCTCAAAATTTAAAAAAGGACCAGAGATATAGCTCAGTGGTAGAGGACTTGCCCACAAACTATCACCAAACATGTAAATGTATTATATTTAAAAATATACATGTATATATCGAATGCAGTATGCCCATAGTCTGGATTGTGCCTGTGTGAACGGAAGTGATGGCACCTTTGCTATGCTTTGTGATGCTGTACTGTCCACCTCCAAAGGACACACATACAGCCTAGGACCAAACTAGCCCTCACTTCTTATGGCCAAATACCTCATCCACTCTTAGGGCTTTGTGTACAAAGCACACAAGGGCTGTTTCTACAACCTGCGTTTGCTATAAATGACTGCCCAATAAAATAAAAACTAATGATTAACTTTTACTCCCTGGAAGTCACTGAATAAGAAAAAGACATTTCCTAAATAGCCACTGCATAAAGGGAACTTACTTTTCCCAACCTCTCCAAAGAAACTTTAAAATTATTTGCCATTACTACGAGTTAGTCTTGGAGCAAACATAAATACATGACAATGAAGAGGTCAGTTCCTGGGTAGAAATGTTTACTAAACATGTAGACTATTTTGGGTCAAAACTTTCCCCGAGAATGTCTGCTTCTAGCCAGCCTTTGCTCTGGAGCATCTAGAGTGTGGATAGTGACTGAACTCCCCCACTCTATGTATCTAGAATTGGTATTATTGTAGGATAAATGATTACACACCAGGTTCTTTGCTAAGCATTGCAGATATACAGGCCATTAGAGAAGAAAGGGAAATAAATTAAAATGTCAAAGATAAATAGGAGTTAAGCTGCAACTCTACAGCTATGAAAAACTGCAGAGCTCAAATCCAAAATGGAAGCCTAAAAAGGTGAATCTGTTTTCTCTACAGGTTGATTTAAATGACCACAGTTGCTAAATAGAACTTTTAATAGATTCATGCCTGAAAAAAAAAAAAAAAAAAAAAAAGATTCATGCCTAAAGAAACAACAATTGGAGTTTGGAGTTTAAAGTGCTCTAAGGATGAGAAACCATTATAAAAGCCCTAGACTTCTGCTTCGCACCTTGAAGAACTATAGCATCAATCAGAAACAGACTAGTCAGTCCTCACAAGGACTGAAAATCAGCTTCAGATCATCTCAATTGCCAGGGATATAGCTCAGTGGCACAAGTGCCTGCCTGGCAAGTGCAAGGTCCTGTGTTCGATTCCTGGTACCAAAAAAACAAACAAACAAACAAAAAAAAAGATCATCTCAATTACTAACTGGATTAACCTAACATGAAACAACTTTCTGGAGAAAGATCATTACTTAGATTATTACTCAGATCATAAATAATCTATATAATTTTTGACATAGAATGTCTAGTATTGAATCAAAAATAGGCATGTGAGAAAACAAGATATGACAAAAAATGAAGAACAAAAGAAACACAAAACAGGAGAGTCAGGTGGTTATTATCAGATATACACATTAAAATAGATCCCCTCCTCTCAAAAATCCTCAGTGAAACAGCACTACACACCTAACCAGAGCAGCTCAAATTAAAAAAACTGACAATACCAAGTGTTCACAAGAACAGTCTTTGTTCTTTATCTTCAGCTAAAAGAGAGGTAAATAAGCTGTTAACACATCTTAAATCTAAGTGTTAAGTACATATGAATCTGTTATACATTCTTTTCTGTACTCTTTCATTTTTGTGACATTTCACAATTAAATTTTTAAAAAAGAAGAAAAAAGCATGGCTAGAAGAGAGATAAGCAAGGATAAATCATTTTAACCTTCAGAAATCATATTCAAGAGTTTATTCTTCGGACAATATGAAGCCACTCAAGGATCTTAAACAGGGAAGTGATAACATTAGGTCTGTTTCATATCAAGGTCATTCTAGTTGTAAAGTAGAATGAAGGCATGGACCCCAGTGAGGAGGTTGATATTCTAATTCAAATGAAAGATGATAACTTGTCTGCTAGAAATGTAGAAAAGTTGTAAAGATCTGAATGATTAAGTGAGTTTTCCTTGGACTTGACTTTAGTTTTCAAATGGGTTGAATTTTAACCCAATCAAATCAGGAAGCAAGTGAGGCCTCTGTGACAAAGATAAATCTAAAATGAGAACAATTTCAGTAGAGCAAAGGCAGTATCGAGGGCAGAGCTTAGGGGTGGTGAAATGAAAAATGTGATTTTTTTCTGTAAATCCTTAGAAGAACACAAGCAGTTATAAAACTGAAAGCTAAAAAGCACTGAGCTCAACAGCAGATGGTCAGAGAGATACATTCACAATGCGCCAGAATTCTGTAGCCCTGTGCACACCCTTCCAAACATGCAGATGCTTTTGTCAGAGAACGAAAAAAATTCTATTTCTGATTCTGACAGCAAATGCCAAGTCATATCTTGCCAGGAGGGAATGGCAACCGCAAACTCACCGAGAATTTCACAACCTTATTCTCATTTGGAAAGACAGGTTGTCTTTGACCGCTACGTCCATCAGCCCTGCCAGAAAGTAAAGGAAAATGAGGGGGATAGACAGTTTCTGAAAAACTCAGAAAAGTAGATCTGTGTTTCTAGATTATTCATGAACAGCCCACGTGTTTTCTGTGAAGACAAATTAAGCATATCAAACAGAAACTTATCCGCACCTCCTGAAAAATGGCCTGAGGCACCGAGTCTGACAAGTTCTTCAATTACTCTGGAGTTGTTCAACCCTCCAATGAGGTAAGACCGATGAATTAATTTTATCATCTTCTGTGCCTTTGTAAAAGGTTAAAGTTTTGAATCAAGGATAGTGAGTTCCCAGTATACTTAGTTTTGGTATTATTTTTTGGTCTGTTTTATGAATCTCTAGTTTGCTAAAGATGAGATTTTTTTTACATGATACTTGTCCCCAATCTGTTTACACAACAAAAAATATTCAGAGGGTTTTTTGTTTTTTGTTTTTTTTTTTTTGGTTTTTCTCCGGTACCGGGAACCGAACTCACGACCTTGCACTTGCCAGGCAGGTGCTTTTGCTGCTGAGCTAAATCCCCAGCCCTGGTTTTTGGTTTTTTTAAGGGAGCACTTTAAACACATGCTCATTTGGCATCTCAATTTTTACATATTTTCAAAGGCAAGTTTGGTTTTATTGGCAGGGTAGTAAATTAGTTTCATTCAACATTCCTTACATACCAAAGTAAGTAAAACTTAAAGTTGCCTTCTATTCTCAACATACATGATACATTACTTAGCCTGTCACACAAGGAGGTTCAAGAAAGAATCATTCAGTAACTCAACTTCTTGACTCAAATTTTACTCAAGAGAGTATTTGCTCTTGTTTTCTCAGAATAATGCTGAATCAAAATTTCAACTGATCAAAATTCAGGCAACTAGTCACATGAAAAATATGAAAAATACCATATAGCAAATCTTAATTAACCCTAAAATATTAATGGATTTTACACATATATCACACTTTGATCAAATTTATGGCACTGAGTATCATTTCTAAAGCTATAGGTAGACCCCCCCTAATACTGATCAGTATCAGTTATTAGTATCACAACAGAGCAGCACAGAAAATGTTCACAAGGCGTGGGGTTGTAGCTCTTGCTGTAGTACAGTAGTGCTTAGCACACAGGAGGCCCTGGGTTCAGTCCCACCTGCTACAAACAATGCTCACAGGATACTCTTGCGTAACATTCCCTTGGGGAAATTGACAATTAACATCAAGAGAAACACATAAAATTCCTACTCTACTCTGCCCAGAGGACAGATGTTATCCTTTCAAGATACACACTGCAACAATGATACTCACTGGGTTGAGCATTTCTTCAACTGAATGGTAAGTAGTCCACCAGTCTGAAGTCCACTCCCACACATTCCCCACTATGTTGTATAAGCCATAGCCATTGGGAGGAAAGGCATCAACCTAAAAATAAAGAAATGAGAAATACTGTCAAACTACTCAACTTGTTTTTAAAAATCCCTTTGGTGCATAAATGCACCAAGAGCTATCATTTCAGACTACAAATATTAATTTTCATCACAACAGTTAAAATATAATTTGGCCAACATAAAAACAAAGGAGGCCCCCCCTTTTTGGCTTTGAGCTCTCAAAGGGAGTTGAGAAACGTAAGAGTTTATACTAAATGGCAAGAAAGCCAATGAAATTATTTCTAATGGAGTGACTAATACTGACTGTAAGTCAAATCTCTATTCCACTCTGTGTGTTGGTGTGCAGTTCAGTGATGTTTAGACCTTCAAAATCATTAATAGGAGTATCACGCTGGACCCAAGATAAGGCTTGTCATCAGACCTCAGCTTTGCTGGCCACACAATGTCCTTCAGCACTGAGGGACCCAATATCAATTCTCACCTCTCTACTGGCTCCCTTCAACTCACCATTTTATCTTTTCTTTTTTTAAGTACCAGGAATCAAACTTGGGACCTTGCACTTGCCAGGCAGGCACTGTGCCACTGAGCTAAATCCCGGGCCCACCACTTTATCTTTAAGTCTGTTGCTATCATTAAAAAACTTAAGGGACTTATTTTTATAAGGAAAATGTGAATTCATTACCATGTGTACCTATCATAAAGGACTTGCAGCCTCTGAAATCTGGATGTGTGAAGCAAATTATACATTCACCAAAGAATTACACCACATTTCAAAGGCAGATCAGACAGTATCACATAATATTGTCACAGACACACAAAGCAGAGTTGCTATAAAGGGCAAGAGAAAAACTTTTAACGGAACAATAGTAAATGCTAATAAATTTGCTTGTTTCCTTCCTTAAAATTTCTTCTAACCTTTTGAAATGGAAATTTTCAAACATAAAGGAAAACTTCAACTTTTGAATGAAAAAACAAGTTATCCTTGGAGGGTTTTTTCTGTTAATCTTTTGGTATATTTGTGCTTTTCCCATACTAACAGAGTACAGTTAAGAATGAATAAACTAACATTCATTTTATGTGGCTTCAGATGGTTGTGCATCTATACATGAATATAGAAGCATCTGCTGCTTAAGCAATTCCGAGCATTTCAATCAAAGTTCTGAGAAGAACTGAATCTAGATAAATTGGAAGGTTGAAAAATTCTACCACTCTGCTTGCACAAGCAGCATTCATTAGGCACCATGAGTGCTTATCCACTAGTTCATTCAGTAATTCCAAGCACAGCAACTAAAGGCATGGAGGGTTCAATGACAAAAAAGACCTCAAAGAGTTTAACAAGAAAAAAAAACCTAAAAATCCAGTGCTACAGGTCAGAATGGGATGCAAAGAAAATTCCCAGAAATTCCAAGTGTGAGAAATTTCTGGTGAAAGTTATTCTCTACAAAAGCAGAGCTGAGCAGACACTAAAACAGAGGACCGAGTTCTAAGTAGGAGAGAGTCAGAAAGGAGGAGAGGCCAAAGCGTCAGTTATTTTTTCAAGAAACTGGAAAGAGCAGAGTAGACTAACAGCTGGAAGGAAGAAGAAGAAGATACTCACTTGCTTCCAGGAGAGAAGGGAAGAGGCCAGGGGAGCAAGAGCAATTTAAAAGCAAAACAGGGGCGAAGGTTGTATGTAGCTCAGTGACAGAGCACAGTATCTGCCTAGCATGCAGATGCCCTGGGTTGGCGCCCTAGCACTACCAAGAAAAAAAGAAAAAAGAATAGAATCATTTGGAAGGCAGGAATCATTCCTTGTTCTTCTAGAAAATATAAGCACAGGTGTGCTTAAGAGTCTTCCTGAGTTCCCATCTCTATACCAACCTTTAGCAGCTAACATCTTAGGCAAGCACTATCTGAGTGCTGTTAGCCCATAAGGGGAAATAATGGTACTTACTCAAAGGCTTGAGGTGTTCCCCCTTTATATAATTTGATGCTTAAAAGAGGTAAAATCTGGAGGTCAGAATACCCTAAATTACTATATAGGTGAAAAAAAAAATTTAACTGTTCTCGGTTAAATTAACCACAAGAACCAAAGCTTCCTCCCAGTAACCTCAAAAGAAAACAAATATAACAGACAAATCCTTCTGACAGGCTTATTTTCAGGTAAACGAGCTGATACACATTATGGTAGGGCCAAAATGAACCAGATATAACTGTAGCCTAGCATAAATTCAGTTCTTTGGGCTCACAATGGTTAGAATACTTTGCTAGGTATCAAGTCACATCTAAGGTAATACAATGTATAAAAATGTCATGCAAGGGATCTATTTCACTATAGTCCATCCTGTCATTAAGTTCCTGCTTCTCTTGACCGCCTACAGCATGGTGATGTATAGCACAGTTCAGGTGAACCTAAGATGATTGTGCGTCAGCAGCCTCAATTTAAAGATAAAAAACTTCTTAAGTCTCATTCTAGACACAGGTGGGAGTCGTTTCTCTGTGGCTTGCTTGCTTTCTCCTCAGGTCTTATTTCTGAAATTGGTCCTTTTAGAGCTCCTGGTAACTGTTCTAATTATATCCTGGTAAATTCCATGACAACTTCTACAGGTAAGTTTTGAGGACATCTGTTAAACTCATCACATGTTCCAATTCTAAACATCTGGAAAGAGTCTTTATCTCATACTGAGCTTTATGTTATCTGTAAAGTATATAGACTTAACAAGAGAAAATAGGTGCTTACATCACTTATCCAGTTCATCAGAAACATATGCCATAGGATTTGTCCAAACAAGGGCCACGACGGTGGCCATCACCTGTCCTTTTGAAAGGAGCTCAACCATCTCTCAGGACCAGCTGCTCCTGCTCAAGGGCTGATCACATGGACAATTTTGCCCTTTGACTTTCAAAGTCCTCATTTAAATATTTGTTACTATGACAACTGAGATATGTTTCCACAGTTCCGCCCAGTCCCACGCTCTTGGATTCATGATCTACTGCAACTGCCTTACTTGTCATAGCTCACCATCCATGAGAGGGATCCAGGCTGCTAAAGCCCTGGAGCAATGATGGCCAACCTTTTAGAGCTTTCAATGAAAACAAACAGCCAGCTGTAGCATGTGTGTTCACAGGTTCCCCACCACTGCACTAGAGGGTCAGGTATGAGTCAGACAGTTTAGTGCCATCCACCTTCAAGGTTGGCTGCACCCACAAGGTGAAGTGTCAGATTCCTTAGCAGAGTCTGACTTTGATGGCCACTACCCTTCTATCTGTGGCAACTGAAGTCTTTTCTGGGATCTGAAAAGCAACTGCATCAGGAGCCCCCAGACATTCTGTTCATCTTGCCAAAGTGGAACATTACATACTCTCATTCCATGCCATACTCCATATCATCAAGCTGGGCTTCTCATCCATTTAAAGCCTGAGAAAAGACTGAGATGGTTCCTTCCCAAGACCTCTGATCATTTACTTTACTGACTAAAATTGTGCAACCGCAAGAGCAGCAGCTATCCTGAAGGAAACCTTGGAGGAACCAGCTACAAGATGGATTCACTAGTCTTTTGCCTCTATTAAATAATACAACCATTTCCCATGGATTTGTATGGGTTTATTCTATGCATAACTCACAAGGAATTTGATACATACATTAATCCACGCATAAACTTATTTGGGGGGCAAAGTCTCACAAAATCTATATCAAACTCAGGACCTTGCACTTGCCAGGCAGGCATTGTGCTGCTGGGTTATGTCCCCGGCTCCTTTTTTGTAATATTAACTCTACTCCAAAAACTATAATGTTTTAACTATGAAAGCTCAAATTAATTTTCAATTTTTGGTAGGTCAAGTGCTTCCCTGCTCTTCATCTTCTCCAAAAATTTCTGGATTTTTCACTTGTTTAGCTTTTCAGTTGAAATGGTATAATCATTTGGTCATATTCCAAGCAATGTATCCATATCACACTTACAAATAGATTTTGGAAGAAATATTTCTATGTGAAACAAAATGCAAACGTTAAAAAAAATCACAACTATCTGAAAGATTGTAGAAAGAAAATGTCTCTCCATAATGATAAAAGCCAGTAAAAGGCTATTTGCCCAAAAGATTTGTTTTCTCACTATGTTACAAGAAAGTGAAAATGTTTTTGCTATGACTCGAATGATGGTGTTCCCTTCCAAATTCATGCTAAAATTTAATCAACAGTATAACAGTATTAAAAAGCAGCCTTTGGGAAGTGATTAAAGGCTAATTGATGGGATTAACACCCCCTTCTAACCACATAAAGACACCATAATCACCTGCTTCAGAAAAACACAGTAAACACCAACCCTGCCAGTGTCTTGACCTTGGAATTCCCAACATCCAGAACAATGAGGAGTAAATTTGTTTGTAAATTACCTAGTTTAAAAAAAAAAATTACCTAGTCCTGGTATTTTGCAATAGCACAAATGGACAAAGACATCTTTTAAACAAGGCTTCGTTAGTACATGATTATGCCAGCAAAACAGTCCTGAGAAAGGAGCTCTTGTGCGCCGAAAAAAGGAAACATGCCACAGACATTCTAGATAACAAATTCACTATAGATCTGAAATTCTTACCAAGAAAGTTTTCTAGGTCTTGGTTATCAAGCACGTACTCAGCTATGCACAAGATACTGGGTTCATAAAATAAAAATGAATGAAAGAAACTGTCTAACCTTTCACTGCTGGGAATCTATCCTAATAAAATTCAGAGTTATAGCTCAATATTTATGTATAAAATACCCATTGCTGTACTGTTTAGTGCCCCCCAATAAAGACTTCATTTAAGTCTATAACAAACATCAGTAAATAAATTAGGATTTATTCATATGACAGGTTATTCAGTGGCTGAAAGGCCATGTATGTGGGATATACTGTTAATGACAGGTAAAATGTTCCTAATATTACATAGAGGAAAGGTAGGATTTTAAATACTGTATCCATGTGATCCAAATGCTAATTTAAAGAAGAAACATACACACCAGAAACACATATACTGGCAAATATGGTAGTCAAAAGAATGGGTTCTGGAAACAAACCAACCTGCCAGCTGTGCCACTTTTCTGCTGTGTAACACTGGGCAGGTTAGTTAACCACTGTGTGCCTCGGAATGCTCATCTAGAAAACGGGGAGAAGAGTACCTACCTTACAGACTTGAATAGGAAATACGGTAATTCATGCAAAAGATTTAGCACTATGCCTGGCACACTGCAAGCCCTTGATAACTACAGTGCTGCCTTGGCTCACAAACGTAATTCTTTCCACATGGAACAAATTCCGCAACCAGAATTATAGAAAGAATTAAATGTGTGATCCGAGATACCACTCTGTACTAGCCATTATCATCATCATCATCATCAACACAAAGAATGAATGGGACAAAATGCACCAAAATTTGAGCAAGGATTATCCCTGAGTATTAGAAAACCAAGTCAGTCTAACTTTCTCTTTTACCTTGGTCTTGTCTGTCTGAAAATTTCTATAGCATATATTACAGAGTCAAGAAGAAAAACTCATCAGAGATGAGAACACCTGATTAATTATTAGCATTTGCCCCTTGTGATACTGGGTGGGTGCAGGAAGCGGGACACGTGCTAGTCAGGAAGTGAGAGATGTCTCTCGCCCCATCTCTGCCAGTACTGTCCTTCTTGAGAAGCCTCAGTACTCACAGGTGCTGTTCCTTGGAAGCCATCTTCTCCAGTGTTGGTCACAGGGAACTCACCCTGCCAGAGGTTGGCATAATGTTGGCCTTTTGGCTGCAGTTTGTTGCCCCAGGGGAAAAGTCTGTCAGGAGAGACATAGGCATCAGGCTACCAAACAGGCACAGGCTTCTGCCTTACAGTCAAGTAGGAACACAAGGAACAACACTCACTTGTTCTGAGTAAACCTTTTTTAAATATATAAATACAGATTTTAATCAGGATTTCAAACACTTCCTTGAAACACCTCATGCCAAGCTTACAGCAAGCAACCTCAGCCTCTTCTAAGTACTCAAAGGCTTGAAATAAAGCACTTCACAAGAAAAAGGGCTTATCGAAAGCTAGGCAAGCAGGCACCACTCTGGACTTATTTGGAAGTGTGATCGGGCACCATCACACCACACTTTTTTATACAGCCTTAGCTATTTTAAGGAGCTTTTCCTAGAAGATAGGACCCAAACATGAGTTTTCTGTCTTATAGCTCTGGAAGCAGAGAAATACCACTGCTTCAGAAGATGCCTAAAATAAGAAAATGCTAAAACCAAGGCAGCCTGCCAGCAAGTTCTAAGGAGTTGTATGTAATATGGGGGGTGGTGTTGAGTAGCTAGAACTCACTTTGGGACCGCAGTGGGGGAGCCCATTTGGCTCAATACCTGGTTTTGGGGGCTATAAAGAGATCGTGACTCACTCATAAGCATCACCTAAGTAATTGCACGAGGAAGAGACAAACCTAGTAAGGACAGGGCTGTTGTTTTTAATCAACTTTCAGCCAAAGCAAGTTCCACAGGGTTTAACAAAAAAAAAAAAAAAGGTCACCGCTTCGTTGGGCAAGATGAGACCTTCCATGTACCTGTTCTGCAGGCCTCCTCGGCAGCTGTACTCCCACTCAGCTTCTGTGGGCAGCCGCTTACCCGCCCACGTGCAATAGGCAACTGCATCATTCCAGGAGACGTGGAGCACTGGATGATCCAGCCTGGGAAGGAGCGACAGCAGAGTCACAAGAGGCACCAGTAAGACAGGAAACAGGACCTGGCTCTAGGAAAGCACCCGTAATTATCCTCAGTTCGGTCAGTGACACCAGGTGGTCCTGCTCCTATATTCAAGCCCCAGCCACGCCACAGCTGATCCCTCGATCAGGGTCCCAGAATCCCAGATGGGTTGCAATTTCTCTTGAAAACAGACATGGCACATAGCTTGGATTGAATTTCCTTCTCACTCTTTTTCAAGTGAACTACACAATCCTAGCCTATTCCTCATACATCTTTGAATTACCTTAGTAAGACTTTCATTCTTTCAACAAATGCTGAGTACCTATTAGCGCCAGACACTATTTCCAGCACTGATAAGAGATGCACTTTTCCCAGAAGGCTGACTCAGTATTTGTGCATGAATTGAAAAATACATTTCAGGCTAGGGGTGTAGCTCTGTGATAGCTGACTGGGTTCAATACCCGGAACTACAAAAAAGGAAAAAAATCCTCCTTAGGTTTTTCTACCTCCCTTAGTTTGTTTTTGTCTTTTGAGAATTTTCTCTATTGTTAAATTCAGTAGAGAAGACATGAATAGGGTGCTAAAGAGGTCCAGGCCTCCTGAGGAAGCCAAAGATCTTATAACTTCCTACTTCGCTATTTCCAGCACAGAGGCTGCTAATTCAGACCTTGAAAGATTTTTAACATTTCTCAACAGGCTACATCCCTAAAGCTGAATTCCATGTACTTCCAGCTCCCTGACCATAAGGGCAGTAACCTGAAAGGTTGCTAAATATAGAGGCTTAAAATGCCATCTGAACAATGAGGTTAGGAGGGCAGTGTTCTTGGGCTACTGGGAGGCTGAGTCCTAACCCAAACCTTCCTCCATCTCCAAGGTTTAAAGTGCTACTCTATTTTTGCTTGAGATAATTACTTCCTCACCACCCTGGAGACTTGCTGACCGACTTGCTGCTCCATAGTTTTTTTAGTCAGGTGGTGGCTTCAAAGTGTGTCAATTCGGACTAACGATCACATGGACTCTATACCCAAAGGCTGGGCCTCCACAGTGGCCACCTGGCAGGACACAGCTACTTATCCACAAGACCGTCTTCTTCATCATAATGACCCACTTATGAACAGAATAAGTGGACAAACTGTAAAACATGTTGTGAGATTTGTACTAGGCCTGTCCAAAGGGGGTCTGCAAGAGGAAACTCTGACAGCCAAATAAGAAAGGAAAAATGCCATTTATTAGAGACCCTTCTATGATCTTTACAGACATTATTGCTGGCTCTTCCATCTTCATACCACTCTCTCACAGTTTGGCACTCTTGCTATGTGTTTTACAGAGGACGGTCACTGAGTTCGTTTTCAAGAGCACAGGAATCTATTTTGAATGAAACATGTTAACTGGATACTTCCAAACTCACCTGTGCTGAATAGTAGAGTCAGGCCCCTCTGGGTGTCTCCAATTGGCACCTTTAACAGGTAACCACCAGGGAGCGGCTGCAACCTTAAAGCAATCCAGAACAGGCTGTTAGCCACAGTGACTCCAGCAAAGCAATGGACTCAGTGTGTGCAGCAAAAATAAATTTAAAAATCTCACTATAGTCTTCAGTTCTATTTGGGCTACCAAATATACCTTTATCAAAACCAAAAATGTAAAGAAATCTTTAACAAAAAAGCATTAATTCCTATCATAAAGCTCCACAGTAATCAAATAAATATGTATGAAGTGGTGCATACCTCTAAGAGTTTTAGAAGATGCACTTCTTGCTAATCCTTTATACGAACAAAAGACAGGTAGTACTTCATTCAAAACTTGGGGAAACAGTTAACTTCACAATAAGTACAGGGCTGAAGGTCAACCAAGGCAGTCAGAGATCAAGATGAAACACAGAGAAAAAAATGGAGGATATTGTTAAAAGACTCCGATTCGGTTTCCAACCCAACATGGCCTGCGTGACTCTGGATGAGTTCACTACTTGTCTGGACCCTAGAAGCCCTCAGCTGTGAAATGGGATTGGATCGCCTACCTCACCTCATTCAGAATACAGAGAAGGTCAAATCAGATAACATTGAAAGTGCTCAAAAAGCTATTTCTAGGACCTTAACTCCTACTTTACAGTCCTGTCAACTGAAATAACAACACGTCTTCCTTCAGTATGTGGTTAAGAACTGAGGTTCTGCAGCCAGTCAAAACGAGATTTGAATCGTGGCTCTGCTGTACACAGTGAGCCTTGGTGACATATTTAGCCTCCCCAAGCCTGTTTTCTAATTTATAGGTACAGTAACAGCACAAGGAGGAAGTATAACATAAAGCGTTTAGAAATACACCCCTAGCAAGTTAGGCTGACTTAGGAGGCAGTCGGTAATGGAAAAGTGTCATCATGCGTGGTTTTGGGACAGTCACAAGGAAATGCATAAAAATAATCATCACTGTGCCTAATACTAACTAAAGAACACTAAGTTTACAGGCTACGCTTCTAACACAAAGGAGCGCAGGCTCCCGGTTATCCCCAGGACTACGCTACCCTCAGTCAACTGCATCTGTTAGGCAAGGCTGAGGGGAAGCGACGGGAGGCTGGGTCCCTGCTAACAACTACTGCAAACACTAAGCCTCACTCCTGTTCATTCTTTGTACTTCTCACCCTTGTTCATTCTTTTGTTGCACCCACATAATCAAATCATTCCAAGTATTTCAATCAAAATTTACTGGGAAAAGCCAAAATATTAAATATTTGAACAAAAAGATATTACGTCCAACACTACTGTGAGGTATTGTATTTTACAGAGCAGAGTGTAAAGGCCCGGCTTCTTCCTATTTCCTCTGTGGCACTGCAGGAACTAATCTGGGCATGTTCTCACTGACCAGACTGCGTGATGCTTAGGCCAGGGGCACACTCCGTGTCAAGGGGAGATGTGCACAGAAAGCTCCGGTCACCCCACTCATGTATCGGGGGAGCTTCAGTTCACTCGCCCAACCCAGCTCGACTGCTAGCACTAAGCACCACCACCAGAAGACTGGAGTTCTTAAATTTTAAAAAAAAGGCTAAAATAGAGAAAATGACAAAATGTGGCAATACGTTAACTTTTGTAAAATTTGGCTGATCCTTATGGGAAACAAAAGTGCCTTTTTTTCTCATATACTTTCATGTTCAGAAATATTTCATCATTAGTAATTAAAAAAAAAACACCATGATTTATTCACTCTATTACTAATGGCCATTTGGGCATTTCCAGTTTGGGGCTAGTATGAATAGCGCTACTTCTATGAATATTCTTCAGAGTCTGTGCACTTGGTAAACATGCACACGCACTTCCGTTCATGGTGTGGAGAGGAACGCTGGATCACAGGGTATACAGTCTCCCCGCTACAGAAGAGACAGCCAGACACAAGGTAGTGGCGGAAGCGCCCCAGGTTTCCTGCCCCTTCTTCTAAGAGGCGTTTCCAGAGAGCTGGTGTACACACAGAAGACCTGCAGGCAGCTGCTCCAGGGACCTGCCCACCCATTCATTTTTCCCATCCTTTTCACCTTAGTTCAGACTGGGTACAAATTTTTACTGAGTACCTACTATAAGCCAGGCAACTGAGCCTAATTCCTGAAGGGGAGTCTACAAATCCAAAAAACCCTCAGAGAATGATCTAAGACAGTGGGTATACTGATAGGCTTTTAATTATTTGTTTCATATACACTATTTTTCACTTCATGTTTCTTCAAAAATATCTCCAAAATTCAAATTGGTGGGTCTAGATATCATCTAACACTCATCAGTGTTACAGTTTCTGATTTCCTCCCCTCCCATTTTCTGTCATGCTGGACATCAGCTTTTCATTGTTCCCAGTGTTTCTTTTCTGAAATTTTTTACATTACTTGAGCAACCTAGCCCAAACAAACCACTAGTTTATAAGTCTTGAAGTCACAGAGCTATATGACAATCACCGATCTCAGTGATAAGCAGAGAGAAACAGAAACAACACACTGGCTAGAGCATGGGGAAAGGGACGCCACCAGCTAGTGTTTTGGTCCAAAATAGTAGGACCTAAAGCAAGTACACAAAGATGTATGCACACTATATCTATATATACTATAATACTGTTTCTGAATAAAAGTTACAAAATAACACAGTTTGATGTCCATCCACACAAAGGAATACTATACAAGTTATCAAAATCCACTGAGACATGGAAATATATACATGTTATAAAAGTAAGCACACATACAAACATATAGCACACATACTGTAAAGTAGAACTAAAAGGATATATGTTAATATCACCAGATATAAGTCTGGAAAATATATACATTTAACGGGTGAAGGATTAGGAGAGTAATACACTGATTTACTTGTTTGTGGGTGTTTTTTTTTTTGGTACTGGGAATCAAACTCAGGACCTTGTTCTTGCCAGGCAGGCCCTGTGCTGCGGAGCTATATCCCCGGCCCCTAACACACTGATTTAGAATAAGCATGTATCACTCTTACCAGGCTTTCTCACCCTCGGCACAAGGACCATTTCAGGCCACGCAGGTAAGTCCTTGTTATTGGGGAAGCTGTCCTGTACACTGCAGGGTGTTAGCAATATTTGTGACCTCTCCCCACTAGATGCCAGTTGCATCCAACACAGAAAAGAACACCAAGAACACCAATGTCTCTAAGCATTGCCAATGTTCCCTGAGAGGAGCAAATCACTGAGTGAACTATCATGATGGGGAATACTCTTCTTAAATGTTAACTGATAGCTCCTAGTAGCACAGAGGTGAAACATCTGATCCTTGAGCCAGACTGCCTGAGTCTGAACAATGGTACCAAGTTTTATAAGATACAGGATCTTGGACTCTACTGTACCTCCTTTAGACTCCAGCTTACTAACCTATGAAATGGAAATAAAAATACTACTACCCACTTCCTGTGGTTCCATGAGGATAAAGTAAGTAAATATGTGTAAAGTACTTAAAAGAAAAAAGGGAGAATTAGACAACTGTTAGCCATTATTACTGCTATTCTTTTTTGTTTTGTTTTGTTTTTTGTTTTTTGCTTCCAGTACCAGGAATCGAACCCACAACCTTGCCCTTGCCAGGTAGGCGCTTTTGCCGCTGAGCTAAATCCCCAGCCTCTATTATTGCTATTATTTCTTTTTGTTATTGCATGTTTCAGTATCCTTCAAAGAACATTTTTTTAACCCCAGCACATAGTTCTTCAGTTTAAACCCCACCCTAGCCCAGCTCACCATTTTCAGAATACTGATAGGCTGAGAAAACTGCCTGAGGGATAAGAAGCCAACAAAGACTGTGGGTCATTTTTCCAAAGAACCCTCAAGAAGAGTACAGGGGTGATTGAAATATATAGTAACGTTAAATTTTTTAAAACTTATTACAGTAAAAGACACACTGCCAAGAATGTTGGGATAAGTGTGCTCAGGCAAGGGGGAGTATTTTTAGAGTAATTAATGGCAATGTGTCCTTTACTGCCTTTTAAACAAAATACCATGTGAGCTGGGCAAAGGGAGTGTGAGGGGTACAACCTCCAAACTAGACATCTGCAAGGCAACCAAATGACTCTCCTGTCTTGTCTGTAACACAGGCCATAAGTCACCATCATAAAGGTCAAATACAGGGATAGAGTCCTCATGTGATACAAAAAGAGAATTTAAATTAGCAGAGTTACCCCACAACTAAGAAGAATTGATAAAAATCAGAGGTAGGACCTCATTCATCCTAGTCAAGTTACCATGGGAAAGCCAAGATATTTTCTGGCCAAATTTATGGCAAACCCATCCCATGTCACTGGATACCTTCTTTTTCAAAATTCACTCAATGTTTTAAAAAACTTGCTCTTAAACTCCTGGTTCTTCCTAGAAAATAAATGCTATTCTACTATGTTTGGGAAACTTTTACAAAATAAGCAACTTTTGAGAGTTACCCATTGTCAAGTTCACGGTGCATACGACATTTCTAACTCCTTTCCTTTAACAGGAACAGTCCTCTGTGTTGTTTACACAGCAGAAGCACCAACATGACTGGCATCTCTGATCAACCTCATCCTAAAAAGAGAACACACTTTTGGGAAATAGCTGTGCACCTACACATTTTCTGGTCAACCAAGACCACTTCCAAAGCTCAGCACTCCCTTATATCCAGGGAGAAAAGGACTTTCACATGACCTACTTCTAGTCACCATCTCCATAGCAACTGTCTTAGGTTTAAGTTGAAACAGCTGTACCAGCCAGCCAGAGTCCAGTTACAATGTAAATAGGATTCCTGCAAAGTATTGATGTCCCTGAGAAACAAGACTACTCCAGAGAGCCAAGACATTACTTCCTACCTCTCCCAAGGGTCATAACCAGACTTGTAGTAACAGCTGGTAAAAAAGGAAAGGGGAAGACAGCAAAGGTTCCTTTATTCCTGCCAAAGATGGTAAATTATACTTCTTATATACACACATCCCAGAATAAAATCAGCACAAGGAAAAGACAGCGGACTGTGTAATTATGCATATTCAAGTATAAAGACA